AGGACAATGCGCCAACACAGATAAAGTTTACAGGTAAATGTGGATTTCTCAATACAGTACACTACTGTAATGCAGATGAAGTTTATAGGTAAATGTGGACTTCTTAATACATTCATTAGTTTGAGTAGAGAACACAGTTTGACAACGATGTGATGTTCATCGTAGACCCATTTAAGTTATGGATATTTTCTATGATTCCAGACAGCAGACGTTCTACGTGACAGCATACTACACACAGGTGAGATCCGGGGACTGTCCTGATCGTCATATCGTCTGCTGCAACATGTACATCATGGTTGCAGAATCATGTGTTCGTAAGTATCAGGAACATCAAAATTAACACAATCAAGTCCTTATACAGACGATATCGTTATTGTAATCGTTAAAGTTTGGGTATTTATTCCCTACAATACCGATAGTGTTACATCCACCAACTTCATGTCGGTCTCGTTCTTCATCTTCTTTGTTGGCGAGTTTTCCTTCTGTTTTATTTATGATCTCTTGACACCGTTTTTACTATGTTTATGATTATAATAAGAACATTGAATGGAACGTTTTGAATGATGTAAGTTTGTTTATAAACTCAGAACAACTAACCATGATGACTGTGTTACATAATAGGATAACCTTTATTACTGCAATATGATAGCATATAATAATATGATTCACTTTATATGAAGCATTCGTTTACTCGTATTGTATGATTACGTATAATACCCCATGACCCAACGTTTAAGATGTTATTTTAAGACACTCTTATGTCGATAATTGCATACCCTAATGGTTTTAATAGGTATTTTATATCAGTATATATAGCGGAATATGAACAATTTTTCTGTCATCATTGATAATTCAGTTCTGATTTTGTTTCAGATCTGGATGACCTCCATGAACTGACGATGCAACTTATTGGCTAATAGCTATGTATTTGTTACAGAGAAAAAATAAACATCATATTCAAACCTTCCTGGTCTTTAGTTTTCCTTTCCTTGATAGTAATATAAATCTTTCCCTGGGGTTGTCTATCCCTGGCGTCAGGATACTCTGATAAGTCCAAAATGGAAGGAAATACACGTATGGTGTAGTAAAATATTTACTTTGTTTAGTGTTCTGTATTTTAAAACAAAACTTTCCAATATATGCTTTGATTTTCATTTTTTCTAGTGATCATTTTACAAGGTGGTTTACTCTGCTGTAGAATATCGTTCCCTGAGCCTGGTCGTAGCATTGCAACTTTTTTTTCGGAAACAGTTGCTATTGACACCTTCCCTTTTTTTGCTTTTTTCTGGATATCTTCCAGAAGTAGACATTAAATGTTCATTCATTTGACCTTTCAAACTAGTGAAGAATGGTTTAAATTTTTCTTACTGTTGCCCTTTTGTTAATTTATGTTTATCTTTCGGCACTCCTTTTTATAGTATTTCTATCCTGACACTAATATGTCCCATATAATGTCACTCCTGTCACCATCAAATTCCCATATCATGCCTCTCCTCACACTACTTTGTTTCCATATGATGTCCCTTCTGGCACTACTTTGCCCAAATATATATTCCGCTACATATACTGATATAAAATACCTATTAAAACTATTATTCTGACACGAGGTTGTCTCAAAATTATCTCTCCTGACATCATCTGACGTCTCTTTTGAAACTAATTTGTCCCCATATGGTGTCTCAAATACGTTGTCCGTCCCCATATGATGTCTCTCAAGAACGAATACTTTGTCCGTCCCCGTATGAT